CAGAGAGTCCAGATGAGGCGGCTCTGGTCCACGCAGCCCGGGCATACCGCTGCACCCTGAGAGGCCGCTCGGCTCAGACCCTGATGGTGGATCTGCCAGGACTCGGTCCTCTGGTTGTTCAGCTGCTCCACATCCTGCCCTTTGACTCCAACAGGAAGAGGATGTCTGTTGTGGTCCGGCACCCCCTCACGGGTCAGGTGGTGGTTTACACCAAGGGGGCAGACTCCGTCCTCATGGACCTAGCTGAAACCCCCCGAGGTAAAATGTGAAGGACTTGGATTCAGGTGTCTGAATCCGGAGAAATCAAATGAGTTTCTGTTTCCAGGTGCAGAGCAGGCTCGGGAGGTCTACGATCACATCCGAGAACAAACCCAGAAACATCTGGATGCCTATGCCAGGGATGGCCTCCGCACCCTCTGTATCGCGAAGAAGGTCCTGGAGGAGGAGGAGTACGACCTGTGGCTGAAGAGACAGCTGCTGGCGGAGAGCAGCATCGAGAACCGAGAGGAGCTTCTGATGGAGTCGGCCCAGAGGCTGGAGACCGACCTGACCCTGCTGGGTAAGAGACCTGACCCTCAGACCGCCTCGGATCTGCAGCGACGAGCAGCTCCTGTCGCTCCTGACGTCTGTTTAGCCCTTCTGACGAGACGCACCGTGGCGGCAAATCTGCGTAATATTACAGCAACGGCGTGTCTTGTAAACGCGCCATGACGGCGTGGCGTTGCACGGGTTTTGCGACATTCGTTCCGCCTGGCTTGGCAGTAATGTTGCGGTACGGGCCTGTCTTCCGGCTGTTGCGCCATGGCGCAGCAGAGGGAGGCGTCACGACGACGTGGGGAGTTGATGCCGAGCTCCGGCCGGCTAATAAATAGAAAATGAAAGTAAACCCGGGCAAAAAGTTTTGTTTTTGAACAAAATCAGCTGAGACGGCTTATTGGAGCGCCGCTCTGTTGGCGCTGACGCTCAGGTCACCAGAGACCGAGGAGGACCGACGCTTTAGCAGCAGCTTGTTAAAAAACGTAACGATCGCAATACAAGCACGTTGTGCTCCAGATTAACGGAAGTCCGCGGCATCGCAGAGACCGCCCCCATACTTCCTTTAAGCCGCCATCTCCTAATCTTTCACAAAAAGGACACGATTGCGCCACATTACCGCCACGGTCTGACCACTTGTAAATGGCCTAAGGCTCGCTGATGCCGCCACGGCGTTGCACCACACCAGGGGCACCGTTTTATAAACGCCTTTGTGTTCAGGCTGCACGGGGATCGTAGACCGGCTCCAGGAGGACGTCCCAGAGACCATCGAGGCTCTCCAGCAGGCTGGGATCAGGGTCTGGGTTCTGACCGGAGACAAGCAGGAGACGGCCGTTAACATCGCCAACGCCTGCAAACTCCTCCGCTCCAACGACCAGCTGCTGACGGCCAACTGTGGGAGCAAGGTCGGCGCCTGCAGCCGTGCTCCCGAGGTTCCTCGGCACAGGATCGTTTAGTCACGCTTGCTGCTCCTCTCCTGCAGGACGCGTGTGCTGCTCTCCTGGAGGAGCTCATCCTTGAGGTTCAGAGAGGAGGAACCAGCACCAGAGAGTTGTCCTCCAGCAGCACCGTTGGCTTCGTCCTCGTCATCGACGGACGAACGCTGGACTGGGCTCTTCAGGAGGAGCTGAAGGGCAGCTTCCTGGAGCTCAGCTGTAAATGCAGAGCGGTCATCTGCTGCAGGTCCACGCCGCTGCAGAAGAGCAAGGTGGTTCAGCTGATCCGGGACCAGCTTGGGGTCATGACCCTGGCTGTGGGTGAGGAATAAAAAAAGAATAGTTTAGGAAAACTGGTCTGAAGAACATCTGGGAGGTTTGAAGGTGTTCTGCTTTCAGGTGATGGAGCCAACGATGTGAGCATGATCCAGGTGGCTGACGTGGGCATCGGGATCTCGGGTCAGGAGGGAATGCAGGTAAACACCTTGGCTCGGTTCTTCTCCTCCAGAAGGTTGAAGCTGAACGTTTCCGTCTCATTGCTCCTCAGGCTGTGATGTCCAGCGACTTCGCCATCTCCAGATTTAAACACCTCCAGAAGCTGCTGCTGGTCCACGGCCACTGGTGCTACCACCGGCTGGCCAACATGATCCTCTACTTCATCTACAAGAATGTGGTTAGAGCTCCTCTTCTCCTCAGTGGAGTTAAGGACAGGATCCCAAGATCTTATGGAAAAGGAAGGAATAATGTCCATCTGTTTCTCCCCTTGTCTCCTCGTGTCTCCCCTTGTCTCCCCTTGTCTCCTCGTTGTCTCCTCGTGTCTCCCCTTGTCTCCTCGTGTCCTCGTTGTCTCCTCGTGTCTCCCCTTGTCTCCTCGTGTCTCCCCTTGTCTCCTCGTGTCTCCCCTTGTCTCCTCGTGTCTCCCCTTGTCTCCTCGTGTCTCCCCTTGTCTCCTCATGTCTCCTCGTTGTCTCCTCGTGTCTCCCCTTGTCTCATCGTGTCTCCCCTTGTCTCCTCGTGTCTCCCCTTGTCTCCTCATGTCTCCCCTTGTCTCCTCGTTGTCTCCTCATGTCTCCCCTTGTCTCCTCGTGTCTCCCCTTGTCTCCTCGTGTCTCCCCTTGTCTCCTCGTGTCTCCCCTTGTCTCCTCGTGTCTCCCCTTGTCTCCTCGTTGTCTCCTCGTGTCTCCCCTTGTCTCCTCGTGTCTCCCCTTGTCTCCTGGTTGTCTCCTCGTGTCTCCCCTTGTCTCCTCGTGTCCTCGTTGTCTCCTCGTGTCTCCCCTTGTCTCCTCGTGTCTCCCCTTGTCTCCTCATGTCTCCCCTTGTCTCCTCGTGTCTCCCCTTGTCTCCTCGTGTCTCCCCTTGTCTCCTCGTGTCTCCCCTTGTCTCCTCGTTGTCTCCTCGTGTCTCCCCTTGTCTCCTCGTGTCCTCGTTGTCTCCTCGTGTCTCCCCTTGTCTCCTCGTGTCCTCGTTGTCTCCTCGTGTCTCCCCTTGTCTCCTCGTTGTCTCCTCGTGTCTCCCCTTGTCTCCTCGTGTCTCCCCTTGTCTCCTCGTGTCTCCCCTTGTCTCCTCGTGTCCTCGTTGTCTCCTCGTGTCTCCCCTTGTCTCCTCGTGTCCTCGTGTCTCCCCTTGTCTCCTCGTGTCTCCCCGTGTCTCCTCGTTGTCTCCTCGTGTCTCCCCTTGTCTCCTCGTGTCCTCGTCTCCTCGTGTCTCCCCTTGTCTCCTCGTGTCTCCCCTTGTCTCGTGTCTCCCCTTGTCTCCTCGTGTCCTCGTTGTCTCCTCATGTCTCCCCTTGTCTCCTCGTGTCTCCCCTTGTCTCCTCGTGTCTCCCCTTGTCTCCTCGTTGTCTCCCCTTGTCTCCCCTTGTCTCCTCGTGTCTCCCCTTGTCTCCTCGTTGTCTCCTCGTGTCTCCCCTTGTCTCCTCGTTGTCTCCCCTTGTCTCCTCGTTGTCTCCTCGTGTCTCCCCTTGTCTCCTCGTTGTCTCCCCTTGTCTCCTCGTTGTCTCCTCGTGTCTCCCCTTGTCTCCTCGTGTCTCCCCTTGTCTCCTCGTGTCTCCCCTTGTCTCCTCGTGTCTCCCCTTGTCTCCTCGTGTCTCCCCTTGTCTCCTCGTGTCTCCCCTTGTCTCCTCGTGTCTCCCCTTGTCTCCTCGTGTCTCCCCTTGTCTCCTCGTGTCTCCCCTTGTCTCCTCGTGTCTCCCCTCGTCATCAGATGTACGTGAACCTGTTGTTCTGCTATCAGTTCTTCTGTGGTTTCTCTGGAAGCGTCATGATCAACTCCTGGGTCCTCATCTTCTTCAACCTGATCTTCACCTCCGTTCCTCCAATCATTTATGGAATTCTGGACCGAGACACGCCTTCAGACGCTCTGATGAAGCGTCCTGAGCTCTACAGAGCAGCACGAACCACCCAGGTGAGTCCTGCTCTGGCAGCTGGAGGAGGTCACACATGCGAGCATGCAGGTCCTGCAGGAGCAGAATAAAGAAGAATAAAAGCATTAAAATCAACAACGAATCTGAAAAGTCTGAGCAGAGTTTATTAGATTCTTCATGATTAAAGGTAAAAAACATTATTTACCCATTTTAGTGACCGGCTCTGATTCTAACGGGTCACCGAGCTTCTCATGCAGGCTCAACATGCACACCTGTCTCCAGCAGCACCCTCACCTGTTCACCCTCCACCCGTTTTCATGTCAGACGTTTCATTACTGCTGAAAATATGTTGCTTGAGTAAGTTAAATAAAGGTTTAATTGATGCGTTTTAGAGGGCGCACTCACATTATTTTGATATAGGAACATCACATAAGTGGTTGTTACACCCCGCGCTGGGCTCCGCTAGGAAGCAGAGGGGAATAAACATAAGATGGACCAGAATAACGAAAAGTGACCCTTATAGGGGAGGAAAGGGCTCGACCAAGCAAAACCAAACTCAAACGGTCCTTGTATGTTCAAGGTTTTATTAAAAAAAACAAGTGGCTGCCGTAACAGTGGTTATTTTGGTTTCCATAATATCAACAATAATGTCGTTTATCTGCAATAATATGTCGTCCAGCAAAATGCGTTAAGGTCCCAGGCCTAACCGGAGCTCTTCTCCTGCAGGAGGTGCCTCACCTCTTCCTGGTTCAGAACCAGAACCTCAGAGCTGAGTTGAGTCACACCGACAAAGTGCTCATGAGGTCTGCTCAGTGAGGAGAGCTGAAGCATCTTCTAAAGACTCGGATCTTCTGATTAGCGTTCAGGTCAAAGCAAAGCTGGTGATGCTGCAGGGAGCCGGTTACCATGGAGACGGATGAAAATGCTTCTAAACCTGAAAGGCTTATTTTGTTTTAGAAGTTGACCAATCGGGTTTATGGAGGCGCGCGCGCACACACACACACACACACACACACACACACACACACACACACACACACACACACACACACACACACACACACCACCTTCCGACTAACAGCAGAGATTCCATGCAGGTCTACGCTCCCTCCACCTTCTGGATCAACGTCCTGGATGCCTTCTACCAAAGCCTCGCCTGCTTCTTCGTGCCTTACTTTGTGAGTTTTCGTTGTGAAACTTGTCACTTCCTGTTTCATGCCCACTTTGTCTTTCAATGATGGGAAGCAATGAATGAAGTAACCTCACTGTCAGTATGGGGAGACTGTAAATGGGATGTTTTTCAGGCTCTGGAAGGCTCAGATGTTGGGGATATGTCCTTTGGTTCTCCGGTCAACACCTCGGCACTCTTCATCATCCTGCTGCACCAGATCATCGAGAGCAAGACGCTGGTCAGACTAAACGTCGCTCTGTTTAAGAGGCAGAGCTCTAAATGTTCCTCTTGTGGAATAGTTTCTGGACCGACTGAGCCCTGCTTGTGTGTTTCAGACACAGATCCATGTTCTGGTGCTGGTGCTCAGCGCCGCTTCCTACTTCCTGTTCACGCTGCCCTTCAGCGCCTTCTGTGTGATCTGCAGCCATCCCACCAACCTGTTCGGGGTGGAGCTGCTGGAGATGTCCCAGCCTCTGTTCTACATCATTTGTGTCCTCAGTGTGGTGACTGCTCTGTTGCCCAGGTACACACACACACACACACACACACACACACACACTGAATGGCTAACTGAAGGGTGCTTCCAAGGGTACAGTCCCATCCAACTATCAGCCAATAACCTGGCTCTCCACAACATGGAGGCTCACGTCAGGCATCGTAGCGACTAAGATAGCCGTACCAGTTTTATGCTAAAGCACATTTAAAAAACAGCGTGGGAGCCCCCCAAAGTGCTGCACAGGCAGGATCAATTAAAACCAAGTAAGGCAAAAACAATGAGGATAAAAAGTACTGAACAGTAATAACAGATAAAAACAATAAAACGAGTCACTGTGTAAAAGCCAAGTTTTAAAAGTGGGGCTCACCCAAGCGGCTTTATTGAAACTCAGGAAAATGTGAACAAAGAACAATCCATCACTGTCCTACACCAGCCAATTACAGCGTTGCTTCTAGGCTAAGGCGGGACATTCCAAAGAGGAAGTCTTCATTTTTGTCTGACAGCCAGACGCTCTGTAACCATGGATTCCTGTTGCCAACCCCCATACAGACAAACATCATGGCTTATCAGCTGCATACCAGAGCTAAGAGAAGGGCAAAAAGCCCCGTGGCTTACTTCACAACAAGATGACCTAAAAAGGAATATTTAACACTAGAACTCCCAGAGACTTGTCCTTTGACTGGGCTGTTGTTATCTAGGATTCTTGATCACCTGATGGTGGTTTCCTTTGGTCTGTAAATGTGGCAGTTGCATGGGAGTCGGTGGTGTCGTGACCATTCATTGAAAGATTCCAACATTTCAGGTTCCGAAATGTTGCCCATCTGTGTCTCCAGCCAACCTTTCTTCTTTAGAGGAGTTCTGCTCTCTGACGTGGAACACAACTCATCTGAAGACGAATCAACGCTCCTGCAAGAGATTGGATTCTTCCTCCCCCATCTCAATCACAACAATCCATATTTTGCAGCAGAGCCAAAACCTCGGCAGCAGTGTGGCCTTTAGGCATCTTTGTGTCGTGTTCATCAAGCCAAAGGTTCTTTAGTAAACTGTCCTTCTTATTCCCAAGTTTATGTTGTCATCACAGTTCACAATCCCTCCCACCGTCCAGCACACCACACCCAAGTCTGTGTATGAGTGTGACTTGTTTTCTACACCTGAAAAGTAGCTTTATCACAGGTGTTATGAGCCATCTTTTTAAATGCAACTATAGCAAGTTTATCTGCTAAAGGTCACCTGTTCACAATTAGCTGAACAGTTCAAGTCGGCTTTGCAGTTATCCTGCCTGTGAGGCTCTAACGGCAGGCCTCCGTTGTTGTTGGTTGTGATTTCTGACCAGAACACACTTCCTACTCTGTTTATGTAACCACACATAAAAGGCATAACAGAAAATAATGGCAACAATATATATATATATATATGTATATATATATATGGGCAATATATACATACATACATACCGTAAATCCTCTAATACAGGCCCAGGCCTGTATTTGACTCAAGCTCATCAAGCTCCAGGCCTTTATTGGAAGGAGGGCCAGAATTAGAGGCAGGCCTCTATTTCTATTTGAGCAAAATGAACTAATGGTTCGCTGGAGTTTTTGACTATTAAAATTGCGCCCACATTTTCAAAGTTAAACACATTTCTTTTAACAACGGTAGTTTCTGCTTCAGCCCTCTCCCCCCTCCCCCTGCTTCAGCCCTCTCCCCCCTCCCCCTGCTTCAGCCCTCTCCCCCCTCCCCCTGCGCAGCGGCCACAAACTCACTGATGCGCCTGCAGCCTCTTGGAGTTCCTGCTGCTCTAAACATTAAAATAATTATTTCATTTTCTGTTCCTCACTTCTGATTACCTTCAATGGTGTCTGTTTGTTGCAACCAGCAGGTACAAAACCTAACTTGTTTTTATTTGACTATTTTTCTGTCCTATATATATATATATATATATATATATATATATATATATATATATATATATATATATATACACACATATATATATATACACACACACACCCACACACACACACACACACACACACACAAGGACCTTCTGCTGTTTTAGTGCTTCTGCTGCTGGAATTTTGTCCCACGTTGTAAGAGGTCTGGACCGAGTCCTTCTCAGATTTCTCGCTCTAATCCCAGCGGTTTAATCTACTCATGATAATCGTGACTTGTTCCGTTTTCCGGGTTTTCCTTTGCAGGTTGTTGTTTCGGACTTTGCTGAACACCCTCTGCTCCGGCGCTGATCCGAGTTCAGCCCAGAGCGATGAGAGGGATGCAGAACGGTACCAGAGGAGGATGCAGCGCTGGAACCAGAAGCATTCCAGACCCACCAGGGTACCGGTGAGCGCAGACAACCCGGGCCTGGAGCCCAGCCTGGATGAAATGGTGTCCTGACCCAAATCCATCTGGGTTCTGACCCGAACCGACCTGCAGAACTTGTGGTGCAATAACTTGAGTGCTATTTGCAGACGACTGAACTCTGAACCACGTGAAGAAGAGATGTGCCTCGTTCGTGCCTCAGTCCGAGTCCGGGCCAAACAAACCTGACCTGCTGGTTGTTTACGTCTGGGTCAGCTGAGCCACGGTTTGTTTACCTGCTCAGCTGAGGAACAAACACTATTGGTTTGTTTGTTTGTTTATTCGCTGTAACCAGCCTTCAGAGGAAGCTTCTGTTTACATGAAGGTCAGAGACTGAATGTTCTGATCGTGGAACCTTTGATCACGGGTTCTACGACACAAGAACTTTAATAGGAACTACAGAACCATGTTCTGGTGGACCAGCAGAACTGCTCAGCTGCCTAAGTGCCTTGTTGCTCATATTTAGACTGAATAAATTAATAAAGTGTTTCTCTATGTGACCCTGAAGCCTCCAGGTCTTTGTTCTGAAGTACAAGATCCAAAACTCACTTATCAGCTGTTCAGATGGTTAATCTTAGCGAGGTGCAGATTACAGACCAGATTAGGCCCTGGTTGGGTTCAGCTGCTCGTCACCTTCAGGTAAGTGAAACTAGGTCATAAACCACTCTAACGTTTGGAGGAAGTAACATTTCAACCAGAGCTGAAAATAACTGGTGGTTGTTCAGAAGGCTCCACAGCCGGTCGGGTGAGCTCCAGGTGACGTGCCGTAGCCGTGGGTCAGGTCGGTCCGGTTGAGTAGATGTGCTGCCGTTGATGATTGGTCCGACTGCAAGAGGAAACCAGTAGAGCTGCTGCTGGGCGTGGCTCGGGCTCTCAGCCGCCACTTCCCCTCTGCAGCTGCAGCTTTCACATCATCTCTGGACTCGGAGGAGACCACTGCAGGAGACATGAGCATCCACAGCGACGCTTCCAACGAGGAGCTGGGCGACGAGCTGGAGACGCTGGGGTGAGGCTGCCTCTTTTTGACCTTTCACCTGCAGGAAGGAAGGGATCGGTGCCGACTGAAGCACTGATTTGGTCAGTCGGCCGTTTTCGGTTAAACGGAGTAAACGAACAGAAACTAAATGAGTTGTGCTGGTGGTGAAAACACTGATGCATCCTTTTAGTTGTCATGGTTTCAGGTTTGGAACAGCTGATCTGTGGCAGTGAGGGTTAGCAGAGGGGGGCTGAAGTCACGGGGCTGTAAAGGTTGATAATGCCACCATAACCACCAAACAGAAGCATGAAGCCCAGAGGTGGCGCTGGGTCCAGACGGCAGATGAATCAGACACTTTAACTGGAATCATGCAAATGAAGAACTTTCACATCCTCTTTTCTAACCCGGTTCCTCTGCCTCTGCCACCAGGAAGCTGCTGGAGGCTTTCTATCTGCACTCCAAACACATGTCATGCTCTAGTGCACAAACTGTCAAAACCCAACAGAAAATCAGATCCTCGTGTAGTGAGCAGCTTTCCATCCTGGTTCCAGTGGCGGTTTTACCATTAGGCTTAGGTAGGCGGCCGCCTGGGGCCCCCTTGTGTTGGGAGCCCCCTAGCTCTGACCGCCGGCACCCCTCTGTTAATGCCACAATATTCTTATTACCAACCTGTCGCTGCAGACGGGATTGGACATGCACACTCCTCATTACCATAATTCCTGAACAGTTCAAGATATCATTAAAACTCCAGAAGTGCTGAAAAGATTAAAAATGGGGCTTTTCGTGCATATACAACACATTACGGTAGCCACCGGGATTCCCTGTCTTGAGCTCAACGAATCGCAACACAGATTCAGAGATGTGCTGTTTGTCATCCAAAATGCTCCATTTTATAACTTTTGAATGGCTGATCAGATTCAAATGATTCCAACAGTTCCTAAAAGTACATAAAAGCAGCTTTCCAACGATCTATAGCATGACGCAGTCAGAGTTATGGAGAATATCTCTACGAGGGGAAATCCTGCTGTACAGCCTGATTGAAACGGAGCGCAGCGCCGCGGTGAAAGCGGATAACGGGACAGGGAAGCTAATCAGCATAAAAACCAGCATGAAATTATGGAAATGCCTCAAAGAAAATCAACACGATCTGTTAGGTGTCCCAGAAGGCTTATATCTGAAGACAGTGACCACGAAGAAGGACCTCCGGTGAACCAGGATATGAACGTTTGTTCAGTCTATTTTTTATTTGAATAACCCTCAACTATTTGCTAATTGTAAGCTTCAGCTTCATTCCAACATTATTTATATTTTTACCATAAATAATTATCATTGCTAAAACAAAAGTTTTTGGTATAGCAGCACGGTGTGCAAGAGAAGCATCCCATGGCAGTGTGAGGTGTGCAGGACTCTGCCTGCAGCTGGAGAGAAACTGCTTCAAGGTCTACCATCAAATAAAAACGTCTGAAAGTTTACAAAAATAAATGGTCTTAATAACTGCTAAAAACGATACCAAGGTTCACACTTTTTTAAGAATAGATGCATTACAGTTCAAAGTTTAAATTGTTCATTCCAAATTGTTTGCCCAGTCATTTTGAAGTTCCTGTTCAGTAATAAATGTAAAAAATTCAAATCCGTTTTTTGCTTTTTTCACTTTTAAGCTGACTTTTTAAAGGCTTTAATAGAAATAAATTCTAAATACAAACCATACGCTGAAAGCTGAGGTTGTTCTGAAATAAGGAGAGTTACACACACTTTGTACTTTTTATTACAGTTTTACAGCCATAAGATTAAAAAATATCAGGCGGCCCTGTTATAATTATGGTCATAAGAGGGTTATTAAGACGGCGATGCACAAACAGGAAGTGATTGGAAGTCATTCCACTCCAATCCAGTTGGTGGCGGTAATGCACCAAATGGTTGTTTGCCAAGTGCCATAAGACCACAAATATGAAGAAGAAGAGAGGCGGGAGCGTTCGTAACAAACTCAAAGGATAGTCAAAACATTAAGCATGAAATGGAGTTATCCTAGTGGCTCCAATAAGAGAAAGAAGCAGCTTGCTTCATAAAAGCTTTTATTTTCACTTCTGAAAGTGACGTCGTTTCTCGATGTAAACATCAAAAGGAAGCAGAAAGGAAAGACGATGGAAAATGTTTAAAGGGAGGAAAACATAGACCAAAATGGAAAATAGAAAATAAATAACTAAGGCAAAAGCACAGGAGCACTGACAGGAAGAAGAAAGCAGAGCACATATTGAAAGTGTTCAAAGGGAGAGAAAGACAGGAAGAAAGAGGAGGACTAATCAAAAGGGAAAATAACTCGTGTCAGAAGAAGGGAGAGTTTCACAAATCCAGTTAAAGGTAAGATTGTCGAAAATTTGGTGTAAGGGGCCCCATGTCTGTGTTCGCCTTGGGCCCCCAAATTGCTAAATCCGCCTCTGCCTGGTTCTGTATCTCCTCTGAAGGTGGTACCACTACGACCTGTCCCGCCACGCTGCAGAGGCTCTGCTGCTGTCCAACGGCTCTGATGGGAGCTACCTGCTGAGGAACAGCAACGAGGGCCCGGGCTGCTTCGCCCTCTCCGTCAGGTCTGCTGGCTGATCCGTTTTACGCGGACTCGAATGATTCCAACTAAACCTTCTGATGGTGTTCAACTCAGGGCCAAGGACTCCGTGAAGCATTTCCATGTGACACGCAGAGATCACGTCTACGCGTTTGGCTTTAACGAGTTCACCAGTCTTCAGGACTTCATCGACCACTTCGCCAACCAGCCGCTCCTGGGAAGCGATGCAGGTAAACTCACCTGGAAGCACACAGACCCAGCTAGAGATTAGTTTCCATCCTGCTTGTGTCTGAACCAGGAACCCTCGTGGTGCTGAGGTCTCCATATCCATGGCGTGTGGAGGAACCATCCATCTATGAGTCGGTGCGCGTTCACACGGCCATTCAGACGGGCCGAACGCACAACGACCTGGTGGCCAACGCGCCTCCGGTACGTAATGCTAGAGCAGGCTGGTGCTGAGGCGTCCGTTAGAGAATCAGCATCAGCACCGCAGGAAACGGGATGAGCTGCAGCATCTGAGCGAGCTTCCTCTTGTGTCTGCAGCTGGGAACGAAGGAAGGTTACCTGGTGAAGCAGGGAGCGATTGTGAAGGTGAGCATCTGCACCGTGCCATCCCGCCTCCGCTGATCCCAGAGGAACAGGTTCCTGTTTGGGAGGCTGAAGGTAAATGTGGATCTTTTGTTGCAGAACTGGAAACAGAGATGGTTCACACTGACCCGGTACGAGCTCCGATACTTTAAAGATAAAACGGTGAGTCGTGTGTGTGTGTGTGTGTGTGTGTGTGTGTGTGTGTGTGTGTGTGTGTGTGTGTGTGTGTGTGTGTGTGTGTGTTTACTCATCACTGATCCGGTTTCCATGATGCAGTGTGCAGAGCCGATCCGGACTCTGGATCTGCGGTCCTGCTCCGCGGTCCAGTTCGACTACTCTCAGGACCGAGTCAACTGCTTCTGGTGCGTTTACTCAAACCAAGCTTTTATTCTCTGTGTCTAAATCCAGATTATTCAGATTATCTTTGGTATTTTCATGGATTTTGTCTAAAGGATTTTATATGGATTTGTTTTTTATTTATTCATAAAAACAGAACATGTGAGGCAAAAGTAACAGTTTTTATTTCACTTGGATGAAACTGTTCTCTCCATGGGAACGTTTCCTAAATGTTCCTAAACTTCCTTCTGGAATACTGAACCATGTCCAGGAGCCTAAATCCCTAATCAGATTATTTCTGCACACATGAAATCAAAACAATTGAAAACACGACTTTTAGAGTCACTGAGACTGTTTGCTGGAACAACACCTGAACGGTTTCAGAATTCCCAACAGAACCAAGCAGATGGATCGGATCAGCTGCAGCTGGACTTCCCCAAACCACATCAGAGTGAGATGAAGAGGAAGTTTCAGTCATCGCTGAACTGGTTTCAACACAATTTCACCTTCAGTTCATCAGAAAAACAGGAACAGATGATTCTGATTCCTTCAATCTCAAGAAAACAGAATATTTCAGATCTAATCCAGGAAAACTGAACTCCGGGTGGGATCAGAATCATCCAGCAGAACGAACCGGGAGAGAAAATAAACGTGAATCTGAAAGAGGAAGATCAAAGATTAGTTACACACAAGTGGAAGAGGAAGAGGAAGACGGGACTGTGGACACACAAACAGGAAGTCAACCAGCACATGAGACATTATTTCAAAATAAAACTGGAAACTAGTAACGGGTTCAAACGTCACAATGTCGATGGAAAACAGGAAAATGATGCTTCCCTGACTGGTTAAGAGTCGGAGCGTCTGACCTCTGTTCTGTTCACTCTTCTCTGTCCAGTTTGGTGTTTCCTGAGCGAACCTTTTATCTGTGTGCTAAGACAGCGGTGGAGGCCGACGAGTGGATCAAGATCCTCCAGTGGAAACTGGTGAGTGGAAAACCAGCTTCAGATGCCCAAACATCTGTCAGGTAAACATCTGTCAGGTAAACATCTGCCAGACACACATCTGTCAGGTAAACATCTGTCCAGTAAACATCTGCCAGACACACACCTGTCAGGTAAACATCTGTCCAGTAAACATCTGCCAGACACACACCTGTCAGGTAAACATCTGTCAGGTAAACATCTGTCCAGTAAACATCTGCCAGACACACATCTGTCAGGTAAACATCTGTCAGGTAAACATCTGCCAGACACACATCTGTCAGGTAAACATCTGTCCAGTAAACATCTGCCAGGCACACATCTGTCAGGTAAACATCTGTCCAGTAAACATCTGCCAGGCACACACCTGTCAGGTAAACATCTGTCCAGTAAACATCTGCCAGGCACACACCTGTCAGGTAAACATCTGTCAGGTAAACATCTTTCAGGTAAACATCTGCCAGGCACACACCTGTCAGGTAAACATCTGTCAGGTAAACATCTTTCAGGTAAACATCTGTCAGACACACATCTGTCAGACGTCTGTAAGTCAAACTAAAAAAACACTTCCTGTCTCACTTCCTCTTTGCTAAAATCCACTAGATTTCTTCATCTGCTGATTGTGTCTCAGCCCGAGTCTTTAGGGCGGGGTCACTAACGTGGTGACCCTGCGGGCACCAAGGTGCTCTTGGGGTCACCACGAGTGCCCCCCGCAGGCCAGTCTAAAAATGGCACAAGTCACCACTAACCCTGATTTTTCCTTTTTTTTAACTGTGTTGCTGTTTTGAGTTAAAGCTGCATCGATGCTTATTTGAAAGTGAAAATATTACTTAATCATTCCTGAGAACAAAACTATTTGGTGTTTTTGTGTGTTAGCGTTCGTAAATGTGGCAGTGGTGCAGCTTGACGGGCTGCGAGTAGGGTGACCAGATGGCTCACTTAGGGGACTTCTGGTTATTTGGTTTGGAGAAAGGTTTCCTGGTTTAAAACTTTGACTAAAGTAGCGCTCGTCATTCATCAGCTCCTGCTTCGAGTGCGTCGGGGAGCGTGGATCCACCCAGAACATTTACACATCCAGGAGCCTGAGACAGTCCAGAAGCTCATAACCTCTTCAGCAAGCTCCCTGGAGACATCTGACCATTCACAAGCTGCAGATGAGCAGCTGGGGTCACGCGGCGTTCGGGCCGCAGCAGTGAAAGGTTCCTACTCCAAGTGAAAACGTAGTTTATGTCCCTGGGGCACTCTGAGCCGCTTGTTTGGACTGAATATGAATAAAAATGAGTTAGGGGTTCTCTTCCAGCAAACATGCGCTGCGCTTGTATAAAAAATCTATTTTTGGGCTTCTTCTGTGTTCGCTAATCAGTCCGTGCATCGCTTTGGTGGGAAAAATGATCCAGATCACCCAACCCTAGTCTGAACTGGATCAGGAGGCCTGCGGCTGCATGTAAGTGAGGGAGCTGGTGGCCTGAGGTCATGACCTCTACAGGAAGTCAGGTGGACATGATCTCAGTCTTGGAGAAAGTAGGTTAGATGAAGATGCACGTCTCTGGATGTGAGTCCAGCTGATCCATTTCCCTCATGTTTCAATTAACCGACGAGTCCAAGGAGCCTTGAAGCTCAGAGGACTTGATACTTCTGAATGTATTTACAGTTTCAACCATTAATCCACCAACTATGTGTTTCCAGTCTCAGGTAAGAAGAGGCCGATGACACTCGTCTGCAGCTTCCTCCTCCAGGTTGTCGTGGAAACGGTGAATGAGAACCATCCGGAACAGGACTCATATTTTAAATGAATTCTGTTCATTCTGAAGATCTTTATGGGTCCATCAGAAGATCAACTGCTTCACCAGTTAGCTGGAAGCTCAGACATGTCAGGGTTCTGATGCTCGCCATGCTGTATGCCAGCAGCAAAGCATTGTGGGTAGAATTGACATGTGAGTGGCTTATTTATATCTCCACATGAGAATGTGAGTTTCCAGAAGCAGGAGAACCAGTTTTATTGTGGAAACACTTTGTTCATGACTGATGAATGTTTAAATTAAAGCCTCTGAAACCATCTGGACTCCGTCTGCTCTGAGGTTCTTATCTGTATTCTTTAGGTTTAACTCTAAATGAACCACTCTGGTGCCCAGAACCCACACATTTATTCAGACTAAAAGCACAGATGGAAACATTTACAGCAACGTGAATGAATCTGGTCCACACTGAACAAGCTGCAGGCAGAATTTCCTACAGAACCCAAACACATCGTGAGGATGGTGGTGAGCAGCAAGTCTTCTGGTGAGTCGGAGACTATGTCACCTCCACCACCTGCCTCAGATCCTCTATTAGAGGAGTCAACTCCTTCTCCAGACTCATGATCAGACCTGAGAACACAGAACAGAACACTGAACCAGACTGAACATCTGTTTGTCTCCATAGAGACAGATGTTACCTGTGTTGGCACCGCTGCTGGCGATCAGGCTGATAACCAGGGGGAGGCGATTGAACTGCACAATCTGATTAAGAAACACGCATCACCATGGAGACTTATGTAAAGGCATAAACATTAATGCGTCCCTGTGCCGACGCTCAGAGGAGCTGCTGTGTGACCTGGTAGGAGTTGTAGTAGCAGATGATGCTCTTGTTCTTGGACAGGCCGAGTTTGCTGCCCTGATCTGTGGCCAGAGCGAAGGTGGACAAGAAACCGGGTCTCAGCGCTTGGACGGGGGCGTTGTCATTGGCAACTGTAAAAATGAGAAATGAGGACATGGCCCCCTTACCCGGGCAGGTGAGGAGGACTTTAGCACTGGCTCCTTACCTTTCACAACTGGAACACCGTCTCGGTCCGTCACTACGATGGCATGAAGACCTTCAACACTGGGAGAGTTTAAATGGATCAGTAACAACTACATACGGGTGAAACACTGAGCGTTCCCATGGAAACACCAACCTTTGGAGCTGTTTGTACAGGAATCTCTTCAAATCCTGCAGAGAAACCCACAAAAACTGGATTAAACATTTTATTATAAAAGTAAGACAACAAACCACTCTATCAGTGCTGTGTGAACAAAATGACAACTGGACGCAAAATAATAAAAAGACTGCTGCTTTAAATGTCTGGTTGCTGGTTTAATTCCTATTTCAGCGTCTCAAGACAAAACAAATCAATCTCAGACTCGTGACTCGTTTAACTGATTAAAACAGCTTCTAGAGAAATCTGCTTTAAGCTGCATCTGATCAGACCTTAGAAAACACCAAAATGAACCGTCTCCGTTTGCAACATAAACACACCTAGCTTACTTTGTTTAAAAAAACTGTAAAAGTTCTTTAAAATTGAGAAAACTGGTCATACTCACGTCTGCCATGACGGTCTGATCTAGTTAAGTCTCTGTGGGCAGAAAACGAATGTTAACAAATAAAACCTCCCACAAAAACCACTAACTCAAAGTCTACACTCAAGTTTAAATAAAACAAGCTAGCATGTCAGCTAATCAACAGAGATGCTGCTTCCGGTACAAACGGCCCGCTAAACAAAACACACATAAGCTATAAAAAATGCACAAATACCGTCTTCAGATGACTTTAAACACCGCTGAGACGCTCTACATGCTAAACAAGAGCTACCAGCTACCAGCTAAGTCACATGACATACGGGGCTTATTTCCGGTTTGTGCGGAAGTGTTTACGGAAGTCTGTGCTGCGTGGTTTTAGCCACGAGAGGGCAGTATTACCCTGCTTTACAACAGGACAAATGTCAAGATACGTTTAGATATTTTTACAACCTGTTCGAAAGTCTGACGTTTTTATATGACGTGATTTTTTTTACCGTTTCATCACTAATAGTATGACTGTTTAGCATATTGTTATGATTGTACGGTTTTTAAATAATTGATCACTCATCACAAGGATCATACAATCTCCCTTTTTTTTTCGTGACACACACACACACACACACACACACACACACACACACACACACACACACACACACACACACACACACACACACACACACACACACACACACACACACACACACTAGGGATTTTTGTAATAAGTGCGTGTAACAGCATCAAACTACGGTACGTGTGATGAGAATGTTAAAAAACAACAAACTATAACTGGCATGATTTTTCTGCATGTTTCCATGACACACACCTTTCTCTCTTTACTTCGCAGGCAGTGCATCTGGTTTCACCTGAACACAGTACAGCTGACTATCAGGTCATGTTAGGAACGTCTGCGCCGCCTCTGAGCGGTCCCTGTTGGACCGTCTCGATGACAGAAACTGGATGGCAATACATTTCCTCAGGCGCAATGATGACAAGGTCACGTTGTTAGGGACAAATGGCCCTGGGAAAGTTCCTGATGGCGACCTGTCCTCCCTGGCACCCTTTAGGAGGTCTCTCATTACCAACCTGGGAGTTGAGATAGACCCCCTCATGAACTTAGATAGCCAGACAACAGCAGTTGTAAGATCATGCTTTTATCAGCTCAGGCGTTAAAGAAGGATCGAGTGGTACGATGCTGCAATCTTGCACTCAAGCATTCCCTCCCTCGTGAACAAGACCCTGAGATACTTAAACTCCTCCACTTGGGGCAGGACCTCATCCCTGACCCGGAGAAGGCATTCTACCCTTTTCCGACTCAAGACCATGGTCTCAGATTTAGAGGAACTGATGCTCATTCCAGCTGCTTCACACTCGGCTGTGAACCGCTCCAGTGAGAGCCGGAGATCATGTTCTGATGAAGCCAACGGGACCACATCATCTGCATAAAGCAGAGACTCAATCCTTGGTGCTGCATCTGCAGTGATGCGGGCGTTGTACCGGTCTGTCGTGGTGAAGAGAGAGCCGAGCCGGAAGGCGAAGGTCTCAGTTTACCGGTCGATCTACGTTCCTACCCTCAATCCTTAGAGATAGGGTGAGAAACTCGGTCATCCGGGAGGGGCTCGGAGTAGACCTGTTGCTCCTCCACATCAAGAGGAGCCAGTTGAGGTGGCTCGGGCATCTGGTCAGGATGCCTCCTGGACGCCTCCCTGGTGAGGTTTTCCGGGCACGTCCAACCAGGAGGAGACCTAAAGGTAGACCCAGGACACGCTGGAGGGACTATGTCTCTCACCTGGCCAGGGAACGCCTTGGGATTCCCCGGAAGAGCTGGCCCAAGTGGCTGGGGAGAGGGAAGTCTGGGTGTCCCGGCTTAGGCTACTGCCTCCGTGACCTGACTCCGGATAAGCGGCTGAAAATGGATGGATGGATGTTTTTAAAATAAAATTGATGACACTTATAGTGTTAAGTTTATTTTTATATTTTCACAACACAAACGCACGAGGTTTGATCATTTTCCTCACACATATTAATAGTTAAATGAATCATTTCCACGGCACATATTATCATGTTTTAGTCACAGTCGTGGTGCCCTTGGGCAAGGCACTCCTTACCTGCAGTGGTTGGAGGGACCGGTGGTGCAGGTGAGCCCCAGAGCAGCGGGGAGAGGGGAGAATGACTGGTAGGCAGGAAGGTGCCACTGATCTCCACCAGCAAGCTGGTGATGTCCAACATGGCGGTGCAGGTATCGCCCCTCTGGAGGCAGGCGTTGCACATTAGCACCTACCTACCCTGCTACCCCACATACGTAGTTCATGAGTGTTTTTCATCAGAAGAACCCCTGAAGGACGTAGTTGTTCGTCCTTTCATCAGAACCTATTTTGAGCCTGAGAGGGTTAAACTGTTGCCTCGCAGCAAAAAGGTTGCAGGCTCAAAACCCAACTGCAGTCTTTCTGTGAAGCTGCAAGTTCTCCACATGCAAGCGTGGGGTTCCTCCCACAGATGACCCTACAGGTTAACAAGTCGCTCTGGATGAAAGCGTCTGCCACATGAATAAACATAACAACGTTTAGCGTTTCTAAAAAATCCACTTTGGAATTGGAATAAAAATCTTTCCTGAGACCGTATCAGTTTTTCCTCTACGGGCATCAGGAGAAACTCTGATTTCCACGTCACCTTCGCTGCCACCTGCTGTGTCAGGCAGCAGCGAGCTGCAGCAGGTCGTTGAGAGGTTTCCGTGTGAAGGACACTTCGACCAGACATGAAACCAAATAAATCGGATTCACTCAGAATAAACAGCCAGACGCGTGGCGCTGACTTCCTGTCTGCTTGTCTCTGTTTCTGTGGCTGTTTGCTGTCTGTCTGCATTTCCAGACAGATCAATACTTGCTCACGGGCCCCGCCGACGCACACACGGAACGTTTTACTCTCTTTGCTTTCCAGTGATTCCACGGGAACAAAATGTTCCACAAACCTTTCCATTGGGTCTGCTGACCGGTTCTGTTGCTGACCGGTTCTGTTGCTGACTGGTTCTGTTGCTGACCGGTTCTGTTGCTGACTGGGTTTAGCGTAGGACGAGTGGTGGTTGTGCACCGGGCCTCGTTGGGGCTTCACTCTTGTGTTTATGGTCTGGAAAAGGGAACATGCTGCGGTTCTAAAGTCCATCAGATGTTTGGGAGAACCGGTCGTGACCAGACCCAGCTGCAGCAGTAGCCTACCTTTAACCCTGAGCAGGACCTGGAGGCAGGAACAACGTACCCGGCTGTCAGACAACAAATAAAGTTATTTTTCTGCTGAATTCAACCTTCTCATCTCTGAAATGATGACGATACATCAAACTGCTTTAGGACACTCAGACACATTCACACACTGCTAGTGATGGTAAGCTACAGCATAGCCACAGCCGCCCTGGGGAGGTCTGACAGAGGCGAGGCTGCCGTTTGGCGCCGTCGGCCCCTCTGACCACCACCAACACAGGCAAGTTGGGTGAAGTGTCTTGCCCAAGGACACAACAGCAGGATACCCCTGGCGGGAGCTGGAATCAAACCCATGACCCTCTGATCATGAGGCAACCCGCTCTACCACCTGAGCTACTGCTGCTTAATCCTAACCCTAATCCAAGCTAGATTATAAAGGAGGAATGTGGCCAGCTCTCCCGCTTCGTGGCTGGGTTGGTTTCCTTCACCGAGCCAACGCGAGGCTGAGCGTGCTCGTCTTCCTGTACGTGCTGCAGAAGGTCAGGGTCACACAGCGATGGACCCTGAACGCCTCGCCACACGACCCCCGTTCCTCACGACCCCCGATCCCGCACTGAGACACGATGGAAACCTCTTCTTTTGGATTTGAGTTCTGCCTCTCTCACTAGCAGCTCCAGATTAGACACACTGCATGAAATCCTAATCTGTTCATATTGCTGTAAATGATCCGGATTAGTGAAGCTCCTTGATTCAAGCAGTGGGAATGTTGGGACTTTACTTTGGTGTTCCAGTATGATTCCAAGGAATTAAAACAAACAGAAAAATGATTCCTAAAGAAATGTTCGTCCCTCTGACTCAGATGAGCTAAAGTTGTTTGTTTCCTCCGGCTCTTGTTTGTTTTAGGAATGTTTGTAAAGTCGGGTGAGTTTTGGGTCAGGAGCTAGAACCACTGATGAGCTGGGCCAGGGATCAGAACCGGTTTGCTGCTCTGAGTTCGTAAGTTTTAATTTTTACAACTAATCCATAAATCAAGATGAATGAGCTGAACCCATTCTGGAGTTTTTGTGCTCCTTGTGATTAAAACTAGAAACCGATGCTTTTTCATTTCTGATCCGTTTGTAGCTGAACGCTTTTAGTCAGAGAGGGAGGTCTCGGTTCTAATCTCTAACGTTTGAGTTGCTGAAAGCAGTCGGTCTTCCTCCGCAGCTCGGGTTCAGCCACCAGCGGGGTCAAAAAGCAGCCAAACACAGGCGACGTGGTGTGAATGAACTCTGCAGAGCTGTAACATTACCATCGGTTATGCCAGCAGCTCAGGTGTTATCTAGAGTTACGGCTCAGGACACGCCGTCGCAGACACTGGTTTACTGCCCTTGGACCGGTATTTCCTTTTCTCTGCTGCTCTGCTGACAGAGTGTTCAGTTCAACATCAGGATCATCAGAACAGAGCAGCAAAGTTCAGGTTCTGCTGCTCAAATGTGTTTTTATACCAAGTTAATCTGAAAATGACCTCCAAGAACAATAATGATGTGCCGAACGAATCGAGTCACGTAAACGACTCCTCACTGTGAACGATGAGTCCTTTCAGACAAACGTTCCCGTTCGGCTCCCGCACAGATACAAAATAATCCTGAAGTCCACTTTTTCCAAATGCCGCACACGGATCATCATGAGCCAAACAGGAAGTGAGACCGTTTCAGCATCTGGTTAATTTCAAAATAAAACCCATGTCTAACTGTTGTAGCCCGCTGAAGTTTTATTAATAATGACAGTGATGTCAGTTCACAACGTCTGACAATCCATTTTGTTTCTACAGGTTTAGTTTTGAACATTTTATCTCACATTTCTAATCATGTGGAGCTCCATGGGAGCAGACATCTGGAGACGTTCAGCACACCGAGTCAGTGTGAAAGGTGGTCCGTCCACAGGCCGCGCCCACCAAGCACTCGGTGTGAACGAGGCCTCAGTCCCAGGGCCAAAAACAAGCACATAGGTCCCGCGTCCCCACTCCGGTAAGCACCCCGCCTACAAACACCAGTCAGTAAATAATAAACAACAATCGTTTTTATAGTAAAGTGGAGAATTGTTGTGAATTTAATTAGAAAGAAAAAGGTAGAAACAGGAAATGTGAGCTAGCTGCTTTCTTGGTGACAGACATGATTTTGTTT